TTCCCGCGCACGCCAGGTCGGCCCGCGTCACTGGCATTAGCAAGGCCCCCAAACAAAGGCTCTTCCGCAGCCTCGCTTGCCCCTGTAAGAGGATGTCGGGGTTCAGCCCTTAGATTGGCCCTTTCTCTTGGAGAGGAGAGGAGAGGCGAGAACTGCTGGCACCTTTATGGGCCTCAGCCCTTTGCTGTTGCGAGCAGGCGCAGCCCCACTAACTTTGATCAGCCTTATTAATTCCAGCTGCGCAATATTTGTTTGTCATTTTCCCCTTTTCCTCTGGAATCATTATTTATGGCAGAAAAAAAAAAGGTGCCCACCGGTAGAACGGAGACAAGGAGGGTATTTCTGAGAACCCAGCAGGTGAACGTGAGTGTTTTCACTTAAAGGCCACCAAAACGGAGGGGGGGTGGGGTCTGATCCACTCTTCTTTGAATTTATTACTCAAGAGCATTTACTAATTACCAGATCAGAGAAATGAAAAAAACAAATATTCCTCAAAATAACCGAAGGTAATTATAACCCTGTTGTTGACATTAACGATTAATAATTGATCAGGAGTTACACACAATAAATTGTCAATTTATCTCCCCACAAAAATGGGAGTGCTCGTGCCGCACGTTGTTTTGTTTCTTCCCTCTGGGTATTCTCTGGGAAGACGGGCTGTGCAGTGGAGGCAGCCCCAAACCTGGCTGTCAATTCCATACGAATATTAGATTTAATTTGCTTTCAGCTCCATATAGAACAAAGTAACATTGGAACACCTTTTAGAAAGATGTTTATTCATTACCTTGGGGCCAGATTTAAACAAACAAACAAAAAAACATTCTTCCTCTTTCCTTTTACCTGGCACTGCAAAAGAACAGATATTTCATAAGCCATTCCTTTTTTTATTGTATTACCTCCTAAATAAGGTCTTCAGTTTTTATCTTTCTTAGAAAGAGAGAGAACACTCTGCCCTCACCCTGGCAACACAAGCCTATTCTCTGCTAGGAGGGTGGGGAGGACAGAGGTGGCAGCTGAGACCACGTTCCTCTGTTTGCAGAGGGTGCAGGTGAAGGGATAGAGTGAAACATACAAGTGGGGCGGCTACACTCTGAAACTGGGGTGAGAAGTGGTTTCTCTTCTGCCCATCAGTGGCTGAGGTCCAAGTGCATATTGTCAAATACCAGCTTCATGGACTTCTGGCCCAGCAAGGGGGGGTGGGCGGCTAGTGAGTACTTTCATTACAGCCAATAGAAAGTAATTTTCAGCAACTGGAAAATTATATTGTCATAGATTACTTCTCCTTATAATTAGCCTTTAAAATATCTGTGGGGATTTGTCACTTGCATAAAGGTTTGAAAATATATCAAAGGGACATGTCCCCCTTGCGATTTGTGGAAATTCAAATGATGTTAATCATAATATCCACATATCACAGACGGTTGTGTATTGTTCCCAAGATGGCCCCTTGGGTTAACACATTCTTAAAATATTTAAAATGCTGTTTTCGTTGAAAAGCAGTTTTAAAACACATATTTAATAGATCTATTTATATTTTCAAATTGTAGTTTAAATGAATGTTTTCCTTGGTATTTTCAACGCGCTAAAGAAAATTAGTGACAATTATCGTACACTGTGACTTAGAGAAAACTTTCTAATAATTCAGAGTGTTATTTAAATTTGAAAATGCTGGCCTCTGATAGCATCACAAATTGGTTTGGAATGATTTTTTGTTTTTCAAATTGATGTGTATTTAATTGGGTTCTAACAGTGGTAGTTTCGTTTATCTGTATCGTTAAAAAACAAAGAATCCACTTTACTTTTAGCCTCTTCAATAAATATTTAAATGTAATTGTAAATGATCTGAAAGAACCGCTGCGGAGGCTGGCTACTCGTCTCCGCGCGTTTTCGAGGTGGTTCGCACTTCCCGGAGCCTGCAGATACCTGATAAACCCAAGCGCTGAGAAGAGCCCGCGGAGACGCCCCTCGCCCCCGCCCCAGCTCCAGACGCCGCGGGGCGCAGGGGCGGGAGGCGCACCCCGGGGCTCCAGGCTGCCGAGCGCCGGCCCCCAGCCCCCTGCCGCCCCCTCCGCTCCCGCCCCTCCCGCCTCGCCGCAGACAAAGGTGGATGAAGTTCTTTCCAAGTTTCAAAGGCAGTTGCTGGGCAGCTTTGCAGAAACAATAACTCTTTTATTGGGAACAAATGTTGACATTTGACGGGCGCGGGAGGCAGCGCCCGCGCCGGCCGCAGGGCAGGGCCCCCCCCTTCCCCACTCGTGCTCTCCGCAGCGCCCGGCCCCCGGGGCCCACCTGAGATTAAAGCGCGAATTCCGATAAATCAGCTCTAACGCCACCCCGGGCCGCGGAGGGCAGAGGGGCGGTCGCCGCGGACCACGCGGGCGCCCGCGGAGGAGCCCGGAGCGCCCGGGCCTGCTCGGCGCGAAGTCCCGGCGAGAGCCCCGTGCGCCGCCGCCGCCGGCAGGTCCCGACCCCGCCGACAACTGCGAAGGAGGGTTCTGTCTTGGCCCGCCAGGAAAATTTGGATTAACAAAATTTTCCAACAAAAATGAAAGTCAGACCCCCATTAGCTGCCTCTCTCCCCAACTCTCCTCTAGCGGCCTGTCCCCTAACTCTCTCCCTCCCCTCCTTATTTCTCTCCCTCATTCATCTTCCCCGGTGACCTGCATGGAGAGGAGCTCATAAATCACTCTGCATTTCTTTAAAAAGATCCCTCTAAACACCTGCAGGTTTTAAGTTCTTAGCGTATATTTAAAAAAAAAAAAAATCAAGTTCTCCAGAAAGAAATTCAGATCAGGAGACGGGTGGGTAAGTTATGGAAATCTTTGATAATTTGTTGGGCATATACACATCAAAGAAGCCCCTTTAGCCTGGGCTAATCTCCTGAGCGGCTTTGAGTTTTCACCAATTGAAATGTGCAGGTCGTCCCAGAGAACGGGGTCTGAGGGGCATATGTGCAGGGGAAGGGAACACAGATCCCCATGTGCAGGTAAAACAATCTTCCCTGTCCCAGAGGGAGGTAGCTTTCACCCAGCTTCAATGTCTGAACATATGCACAGAGATCAATTTGTGCTTGGGTTTCCACGGGCATGCTCCACTCCTCCCCGAGACATGTATAGCTGTAAATGCATCTTCATGAGTGTGCATGGTCTTCCAGTGTTTATTTTGTTAAATATTGTTAACTTTCAGACTTCTCACTGAAGTCTTCAAAATGCTCTCGTTAAGAATGTTACATATAACAGAGATATATTGCTGCCATGGGCATTTTATTCCCTGCTGATTTAGGAAATGTGGTTAATGTTAATAAAAGTAAAGTACTTAGGACCATGATATTGCAATATAAAATGCTTCCTGGAGGGGGGAAAATCATTATCTTTATGGAAATTCTACGAAGGTTTTATGTCTAAAAGCAAAGCAAGCAAACACACTGGAAGCTCACTCTCTCGCCTCTCCAGACCTTGAATTTCTTTGCTTCCAGACACACGGCCACGGAATGGCAAGGCTTCCCATGTGAACACTCTTCCCTCTCCCCAGCAGACAGCTCAGCTCCGGAACATTTCCATATGTATTACTAGAGGAGGCAGGGAAGAGAGAAAAATAGCTCTGCACCCCAGAGATTGACTTTATGCCTGACCTCCAAACGCTTAAGTATTTAAAAACCAACAAAATGCATGAGAAGTAATAGAAAACCAAAACCGAGGTCCGCAGACCACAATTGCTCCTCCCCGCCAGCGTGGTTCTGTGTCCAGTTAACAGTCCCCTGGCTTTGCCCCAAGTATCTAAGATTACTTTCAAATACCCCTTCTAACAAGACCCCAGCAAGAGGCCACTAATTTCTATGGCACAAAAAGCCACTGGAGAGAGATCCGTTTGTCAATATCAACTGGTCCAGCAATTTCCCATCCTCAGACACATCGGCCTATCGGAGCTGGCAGATGTTTAGACAAGATTTTATAAATTGTTCAATATCAGCCCATAATGAACCCCAACTGACCATTCCAAAGCAGCTAAAAGCATCCGAGACCTCCCCCACTGGGATCCAATAATGCTCTCATGCTGCAACATTATTAATCATGGAATAAAATAGATGAACCTCTTGAAAAATAAGTGTATGATTGATTAAAGGGCAATCTAAGAAGCTATTATTCTTGTTTTATAACCGTAAGTTATATTCACTCAATTTATCTTTGGAGAGGAAATAAATGATTGTTCATTTCTTTTCTGAAATTATATTATGCGGATATCCATATAATTTTGCTGAAAATTAAAGTGACAGGTTTGCTGCTTTTATGATACTAATCAAAGGGAATATGTTATGTGACTACAAATTTTAGACGTGTCCTGTAATTAGAAAGTGAGTTACACAATAAAGAGGCCATAGTCCCAGGTTGTTTAAACCTTTCTTTTCCCCCCAGGGTAAGGGTAACAGCCTCTGAAAGGAAACTAAATCCCTCCCCCCAGACTTCACCTTGCGCTTAATGCGAGTTATATGAAAAGGAGAGTTAAGAAATCATTCAATAAATGTGAATAATGCCAATTTGGATAATTCAGCTTTAAAAAAAAACAATTATTTCAATCAGTACTTTATTGTGGGGAATGTTAGTCTCTATTATCAATATTATATTCTCCAGTTTAGCTTCCTGAGGAGGTTCAATATACCAGCATCGGAAATAAATATGGAATGCATAGGGGTGTCAGATCATTTTATTATATTTTTCTTAGTTTTAGAAATTTACACTAACAAGTAATTTGCATATTCAGAGCACAAAAAAAATCTTAATTTTCTTGCAATACATTTGTATATAAATAATCTAGAACCACATGTATCTCCCTACTGCGCCTTTCTCTTTCTCTGCCTTTCTTTTTAATAAGCATAAGAAAGGAGAGTTTATGTCACCCAGCTTTTCACTGAGAAGGGGAGGCCAGATCACCTGGAGGTCATCATCCCCTGGGGCTCCAAACCCAACTCTCTCTGCTAGGAATAATGAGCCCCAAACACCATATTATTGTAGACTAGTCTGTTTTTATTTACAATTTAAGATATAAATTAGTAAAGAATCCATGTTAAACAACCAACAAAGATTGTATAACCAGCAATGTTCAAATAAAAACCAGGCAGAATTTATTTACAAAAAGTTTAGATTCCATTGCAATACAACTTGCATAAATTACTAGAAGCTTTATATCATTATAAAAATAAATATCAAATTTGTTTCCACTTCTGAAGTACTCAAGTTCTTCAATCACATTTTTTTTCCTACTGTGTACATCTTTTACAAATAAACTTTACAGTAAATCCTATCACACCTATAGAATATATATACCGTGGCAATGAAGTGATCAATTCAAGATATCCTGAGAAAAACAGATTGTTTCCAAGAGTCACACATACATTGGGAAAGCTATACTATGCCAACAAATTCACGTATGTCCAACAATAGTCTGTTCCACTCGCTAGAGTCTGTGGGCGGACAGTGCTGGGCGGGTCCTTCTCGTTTACAGCGGCACTAGATGTGGTCCGGATTAGAGATCTGGCGTTTGTGTCTGTGTGTTTATGAGCTCGGGAAGGGAGAATGGCCTGCTGACTTTTTTTTTTTTTTTTCCAAAGCAATTGTGACACCTACCTGTGGACCAAGGAAAAAACCATATCATCCCAAATCCTTCAGTTCCACACTGGCACCATCACATTAGGAAATGAGTTGATCAGAAATGGCTCCACCTCTCCCATCTTCAAGATCTGTGATTAGTGATTTTGTCTAGTTGTAAAGCAACATATTTTTTGAGAAACTGATGTGAGCCAGGAGAACTTCAGAGTCCTGTCTGGTCCATGTGGACATGCGGGTGGGCAGGGCTGATAAATTCTAGCACTCCTCTGTCTCTTCAGTCTTAGCCTGTAAACACCACCTAGGAAGGTCTCTGAGCTTCGAGTTTCAGTGGCGCTAGCCCACCAAAGCACGCGCCTAGTATGTGTCTAGCATAGTAAAACTGGCTCCAAATTGCATTCGAATGCCCAGATTTTAATCATCTATTTTTTTCAAAGAGAAAAAGAACAGCAGTGTTGCGATATATATACTCCAGTTTAAGGAATGACTCTTCAAACAGAACTTGAGCCAGAAATAGGGAATCTACAAAACAGAACACACACTCTCCCCCTTTAAGAGAGAAAAGGTCAAAGGAGATTGAAATGCTCTATCTTCCAACCTCATGACAAGAAGCAAGGAAAACACATTAAGCGGGTGAGTGTACGGTGCGGTTGGTGCTGGGAGGCTCCCCGGGGTGTGGGAAGCACCAGGGTGCCCACTTACTTGCACGCTGCGCTGGCCCTTCTATAGGTAGGGCTGGACGCCCCCGCCAACCACGGTGCAGCCCTCACTGGCATCTGTCAGGGGAGGGGCAGTTAGTGAGAACCTGACCCCACAGCCCACCCCCTCGCAGAGCAGACATGCACCCACCGTCCCAGGCACCCATGCAAACAGCAGATGGTTCCGGAACTGACTGTTTCCAGCACTACTATCTTTGGAGATGCCTTTGGTTGTGTTCCCTAATTCTCACTTCCTCCCCCAGCCCCACAGACACCTCTAGCAGGTAGCCCGAATGCCGAGAACACAGGGAACCCAGAAACGCCAGGAGAAAGCAAACGGTTCTTATTTCCTGTTTTGAAGACATAATGCCTCCCAGAGTAACTGGGAACGTTTTGCTTCCTTCCAGCCAAAGGCAGAGAGGAGGCTCCAGCTGAGACTGCTTAACCAGCACGAGGCATCGGAGCAGACCTGCGTGCGCACTCCCAGAGCAGGGACGCGGCTGTCACCTGCACTCTGTGGCCATTTGTGTCTGCTAGGACTGTTTTAAAAGCCACGATAATAACAGCAGCAAAACTAATAGTAAGTGAATAAAACGTAAATAATACCCGAGTGAGCCTGAGAAGCGCCCCCGCCCTCCGGCCTTATTCTGAAGACCCGCCGCCCCTCTGTCCCTGTCGCTAATGCGGCTCACAGGAGGGCCGCTGGCCTTTCTCCCTCACTCCTCTAAACGGCTCTGGTTCCTGGCCCTTCCCGGTGTCCCGGGAGCTCTACCCCGCTAGGCCCACGGCCCGCTCTCCCTCCCCGGGGACCCTGCGGCCAAGGGCAGCCTACCTTTCTTGGGCTCGTAGCCGCCGCCCGGGGGCCGGTAGTGGGGCTCCAGCGGGTGCGCGCCCGCCTTGCCCGCGTCGCTGGCCGCCTTGGGCGCCGCGTGCAGCGCCTCGCTGGGGGCCGCGGCCGCCGAGTTGTACCGCAGGAGCCCCTGGCCCTGCAGCGCCGCGTTCAAGTTCCCGTAGTTTGTGTAGTTGCCATAGAAGGGCGACGTGTAGTAGAGGTGGCGGCCGAGCAGCGGCGAGGCGGGGTAGGGCGAGCCGCCGGGCGGGGCCCCGGACGAGGCGGGCGCTGCGGCCGCGGGCAGCCCCGGGGGCGCACAGCCCGGGCCCAAGCTCGGCTGCTTCAGGTCCGACGTGGCGATCTCGGCCAGCGACCACAGCTTGGGCTTGCTGGCGGGCGGCGGCGCGCCTGGCGACGTCCGGCTGCTCAGGGGCGTCTTGCCGCCGCTGCCCCCGCGGGGTGCGGGCTCCGGCGCGGGGCTCAGCAGCGGCGCCTCCACGCCGGTGAGCGGCGAGGAGGTCACGGGCTTGGCCGGCGCCAGGCCCCGCTCGCCCTCCTCCTCGTCGTCCTCGTCGTCCTCCAGGTCCTCATACTTGTCCTTGCACTCTGAGCCCGATTCGCACAGAGGGTCCCCGGTATGGCACGGTAGCTTCTCCCCGTCCGACTCGGCCGAGCAGGAGTGATCCGTGAGCGAGTCGACGTGCAGGCTGATCCCTGAGGGGAGTGGGCATGGTCGGTGGCAGTCGGGACAGTGCGGGCCCTAAAACACCCTCCGCCCCGCGTCCTGGGGCACTCACCCTCCCCACGCGATCCCTCGCCTCGCCCCAACTCCTGCCATGTCTGGGAGAGCCCGACTTTCCCGGGAAGTGCCTGAGGAATCAGTCGGCCGAAGCCCGGGGACCTAAGCGACAGCGGGCGGATGGGGATCCGGCTCCGACCTGGGATGTCGCGGGGCAGTGTCTCTCAGACCCGGGGTGTCTCAGGGCAGTGTCTCGGACCCGGGGTGTCGCGGGGCAGTGTCTAGGACCCTGGCTCTGCGCCCCGCCTGCCTGCGAGGGAAGCTCCCCAAGAGAGACCGCGCTGCAGCGGCGCGCTGCCCGCTCACCTTCGTCCTCCGCCGACGTCTCAGTGCCCTCCTGCGCCTTGTCGGGGCTCTCATCCTTGCTCCTCGCCGCGTCGCCCTCGTCCTCATCCTCATCCTCGCTTTTGTTCCTCGGGGCCCACGTCATCTTGTTCTCCTTCTTGAGGCGCCGGCGCGCGTTGGCGAACCAGGTGGACACCTGCGTGAGGGTCATCTTGGTGATGATGGCCAGCATGATCTTCTCGCCCTTGGTGGGGTAGGGGTTCTTGCGGTGCTCGTTGAGCCAGGCCTTGAGCGTGGCCGTGGCGTCCCGCGTGGCGTTCTTGCGGTACGCCGGGTCGTTGAGCTGGTACGGGTAGGCCGCGCTGCCGTACGGGTGGTAGCTGATGGCGCCCGTCATCCCGGTCGTGTGAGCGTCGTAGGGCGCGCCCTGGAACCAACAAGAGCCCCTGAGTCCGGTGCGCAGGGACCAGGCAGGCATGGACCCGGAGCCACCCCTCCGCCGCCCACCGCCGCCTTTCCCACTGCGGGTCTCCCACTCTCAAACCGCCCTTCCAGCAGCAAGAGAGAAGGAAAAAGGCAGTGTGATTGAGGGCCAGCTGTGGATCACAAAAAGTACTGCAGTTTTATTCTCGATTTTTTGAACTCCTTTACCTTCCTAAAATGACTTATCTTCCCCTAAATGTTCCAGAACGGCGCGCACAGATGCACACACACTTAGACGTGTGCGCACACAGGCCTACAGGTAGTTTCTTGATATCTAAATTTCTCTGGATGCTTCAAGTGCCACCGCCTCCCCCAACTCCCTCGTCCCCGCCCTTATATGGTTAAAAAAACACCCCAAAGCCCCACTCCGCTATTCACCGCTCTAAAGCTCTGCAAATCCAATTTGCAACTCAGAAGCCAGTCACCGTTTCGAATTCTTCAAATACGCGGTAATTAGCATTTTAATTCACCCTTTAACGTTTAAATTCGAGACTTTTGCAGCCCTCGCTTAGGCCACGGCTACTCGGTCGCAGCCCTGGAGTTCCGCCGAGGGCCGGCAGCGGCCACAATCCCCGCAATGGCCTCCATCGCCCGTGGCGTGATCCGCCGAGGCCCAGCCCGGGCCCAGCTGCGCACCGGAGGCGCGAGAGCCGGCCCCGGGTTGCGGGAGCAGGCGCTGCTCTCGGGGCGCTGAGGACTCGGCTGCTTAGCGAGTCTCGGTTTTTGAAAGCAAGGTCTGCGGGGCAGATTAAGGCCCGAGACCAGGGCGCCTCCGGCAGGATCAGGAGCCGAAGCCGGACGCGCCGTTCCCTACCCTCACTCGGTGACCCCGCTGCCCCAGTTCCCCGAAAGTGAACGCGAACTACCCAGCGGCCGCCCCAGACGCCCCAGTGGCGCCGTCCCTCCCACCCCTCGCCAAGGAGGGCGAGTCTTCGGCCGGATCCAGACCCCTCACCAGGCTGCGAAGCACGAACCAGGGACAACTCACGACAGACGCCAGCCCCAGCGGAGTCTCACTTCCCAGGCTCTGGGAGAAAATTATACCGAGAGCCAGTGGGGAGCGCCACGGGGTGCTGGGCCCTGCCCGGGCTCAGGGACTTCCCCTGCTGAACGCACCACCCTGGCCCCTTGTTCCGCCTGCGGCGCAGCAGACAGAGCCAGAGACTCCGGAGCCACCGCCTGCGCCACATTCCCCGCGGTCCCTGCTCACCGATCCCCACCCCACGCGGCCCGGGCCCGGACCAGGGTCCCCACGCCCCGGTGTTCCGCGTCCCGACCAGCGCACGGTTACCATGTAGGACGGGAAGCCGGCCGCGGCGGCGGCAGCGTCGGCCGAGTACTGCAGCGGGCTGCCAAAGCCGGTGGCCGCCTGTGCCGTGAAGGCCGCCGAGCCCGGGTACGGGCTGAACGCCGAGCCCGACGCTGATCGCGCCAGCTCCTCGCTGCGCGGCGCCGCCAGCGCCGACGCGCCGTACGCCGGGCACGAGTAGAGCGCCAGCGAGCCGGGCGCTTGGTACAGGTAGCCCTGCGGGTAGGACATGGTGGGCGCGGGGCCGGGGCCCGCGTCACGCCGAGCAGCGGGCTGGGCGCGCGGCGCCCTCCAATCGGCCACGCCCGCGGGCGCGGCGCGCGGCGGCACGGGAGGCCGAGCAGGCCGGCCGGGCCACTAGTGCGGCCCGACGGGCCGGCAACGGGGCGGCGTGGCGGCGGCGGCAGCGCGGAGCCGGTGGGCGCAGCCGCGCGCCAGGCCGGCGGTCGGGGTTTGGGGGAGTCTAGAGTCGGGAGTGAGGAGTTGAGGAAGGAGCGCTCGAGTTTCCGAGGGACATTGGAACGCGGAGCTGTCCGTCACGCGCTCATCTGCATATTCGGGTGCCCGCCCCTCCCCTGCTCCGCCCGCTCCAGCCGCCCGGCGGCGGCCGGGGGAGGGGCGGGCAGCGGCGAGGGGAGGAGAGGGGAGGGCGGAGGAGAGGGAGGCGGGCGCGAGGGAGGGACGCGAAGGCTTTTGTGGCGCAGCCGCCTCTCTCGCAGCTCCGGCCCCAGCCCGCGGCCCTGCAGCCTAGCCAGGCCGAGCTGCGTGCCCTGGCGCGCACCCCTCCCACTCGTGCTTAACCCAGCCAGGTCCCCCTGCCCGGCTCCAGCAGGCTCCCTCACCTCGTCCCTGCCACCTTCTTCGTTCCTCCTCCCTTTCCTCCTCCCCCACTGCCCCGCCCCCAGCTCGGCTCGCTCGGACTAGCAGAGGCCGCCTGCAGACGGGCCAGGCCGGGTCCACTTGGGGACGCACAGCCCGTGTCTCTTCTCCGCCTCAAGGAGACAGGCCGGCCTAGATGACTGACCGCTGGACTCCAGTGTCCAGTCCTGAGTCGCGGGGAAACGGGGAGGAAGCAGGATGGTGGCACCCACGCACGGCCTGGGTCCTCCTGGGGCGGTGTGCTGGGCTCCCACTCCCACCTTCCTCGACCTGCTCTGCCTCGGGGCCGGAGGCTCCCCGCGCCCTCGCACCTGGTCGCCTGCCCCTTGCACCCCGCTTGGCCGAGCATGGACCCGGATCGGGGCGCCTTGGTTGGGAACTGCCAGGAGGGCCCTGAGGTGAGCAACGGAGACCCGGATCCCTTAATGACAGGACTTTTCTGGTTGGGAACGTCGTGGCACACGCGCCGTGTTTCACTCCTCAGATGCCACCCCCCCTAGGGAGTTTTATTTTATTTTGTTTTAATAAGTTGACTCTTCTTTCGGATTTGTGTTGCCAGGACACCTGGGAGATGACTGTCACCTGAGAAACCTCCTTTGGCAGACGGGGAAGCCTCTCTGCCACCTCGGGAAGAGAGAGGAGAGGGCGGCCGGCTGGTGGCACTGGCACAGTGCTCACCACAGGTAGCTCGCTCAGGTAACGCGCGGCTCAGGAGGTGCCTCACCAGGCTCAGGGGCGAGGTGGTTGGCCACGGTCCCTGGGACTCCAGCCCCGCATGCTCCTCCACCCCTCCCCCACCTGGGGACAGCGGAAGAAAAGAGGATGTCTGGCTAACTCTGCCTGAAGGGTCACCTATGGGGGGCGCTCGGGAGGTTCAGAAGTCCTCAGGTGTGTACTGGCCTGAGTGGGGGCACCCACCCAACAGGTGCCTCTTCCTCGGAAGCCGTCTCCAGTGGGTGCAGGGGAGGTGGGAGGGCGCCGGGGGGCTGGGCGCTGGGCCGCAGCTCAGGCCTGCAGCTCACACCTCCATCCGGGTGCACGCTGCGGCCCGCGGGCGGCCTGTGCGTCCAGGACGTGTGCGTCTGCGGCCTCTCCGCCGGGCGGGAAGAGCGGGCCAGGCCGCCAGCCGTGTTCCGGCAGCAGCAGGAGACACACGCAGGCCAGCCAGGCTGCGTTTGTCTTTCTCCAGGTGAGAGGGAACCAGTTGCTAAGTGCAGCGTTGTGCTCAACGACTCCTTGGCCCCAGGCTTGTTGCTCCTGGTAAGTGCCCCCAGGCCCAGTAGCCTATCCATCCCAGATCCCAGGCACACCACACCCCGCCTCCACCGTGTGCCCTGCCCTGCCTGTCATCTCAGTGCAGCCCCTGCCCAGGACCACCACACCCTTGCACACAAGCACGCCACTTCCCACACACTCGGGGGCACTTCGGGGACCAAGCAGGGGCATTTCAGGTGCGACCCCATGTGGGAAATCCTAATTCAGTTCAGGGCAGATATTTTAAATCGATTATTATAGAGTTGAAAGCAAGAGAGGTGGAGAGAGAAAGAGAAAAAGAGATACCTCGGTAGCCTCCTGGGGCGAGCCACTGTCAATGTCTATAACGCTTTTGGTTTTCCTGGGAGGAACTCCTCCAGAAAGACGCATCGAGGAGATGCCCACATGTTTGGGTGACAAACACAAACAGCGACGGATCAGATTGCAGCCCTTTAGGCTCCACTTCCCATCAGATTAGTTTAAGTGAGAAAAAAAAAAGGGAAGGGGGTCTAATTTTTCTCACCCGGGGAAGACAGGCCTGGAGTATTTCCATTTCTAAAGACCCTTCCTGCTGTGGGGTCATTAGCATTTGGGGCTTTTCTCCCCCCTCCTCCTCCTCCCGCCTGACCTCTGGCAGGGGCGGAAGAGAAAACACGGAGTTATTACAGAAACATCCCCAGTTCAGAGCAGGACCGTATGCTCCAGATACAGTCGATTCTGACACCAATTAAATGTGTAACCAGACAAGTGCACTGGGAGGCTGTCCGTCCTCCAGGACGGCCGGCCCTTCCCCTCTCCTGAGCCCAGCGCCGCCCGCGAGTTTGAAGACGGCCTCTTCCCTTCCTGTGTGTACACCTTCCCCCCAGCAATTATACTCCTCCACTAAAATCTAAATTTTCCATACTGCTGCTGCCTGGTGCTAATAAAAACCGTCTACCTTGCACTATTACACAGTCGAGTCCCACTACATGCCGTTTTTATTGGTAGTGACTGTAGCAAATTAAAATGCCTACGCAGAGACATTAAAACTTGCGCTTTTCATTGTTATTGGAATATATAAACTCGGCTTTGCTGTAAAGCTCCCTGATTTTTTTTAAAAAAAATCACTTTTCGTTTTCTTAGGTTAAAGTTGACTTGGTCTTCCTAAAAAAAAAAAAAAAAATCAGGAAAAACACCCCAGCAAGTGTGAAGGCTCAGCGTGGTGTTCCTTGCCAGGCTGCCTGAAGGGTGGCCCCGGTGAGCTTGGAGCCCACTGGATGCGGGTCCACGGGGAGCGGGTGGAGGCGTCCCCGGCCCCTAGGCGGCTCCCCCGGGGAGCAGAGGCCTGGCTGTTTCGCTCAAGGGCAGAAGGGTGCTCTGGCACATGGAGTCGCCTGGCTGTGGTCGGGCACTTTGCTGCTGCTGCTGCTGCTTTTCGGTTGTCATCTGAGCTGGGATAACAGCGCAGGCAAGCAGGGGACCAGGAGCTGCTGCCAAAGCACAGCCACTTGGTGCCATTGCCCAGGCAGTGTGTGGCTTCAGGCTGACAGTGGATCCTCCCTCCGTTCCCCAGGGGTGTGTGTGTGTGAGAGGGGGGGGGAGAGTTAACGTCGTCATATTTTTGTTTCTTGTGCTTACAGCGGCCTAAGCATTTAGAACCAGTGGGTGTGGACGCACCTCTCAGAGAACCGGGTTCTCCTGCGAGGCCAAGCGCAGAGAAGGGCCAGGGACGCAGGCTGGGGTTCCAGGGTCGTCCGAGGATCACGGCCGGCCGGGTAGGCCCAGCGCTGGCCAGAGTCGGTCGAGTCCTGGGGGGTCTCAGTCCGGGCTGGCAGGGGAGGCAGCGGGCGGAGCCGTGCGCGCGGGCGGCGAGGGGGCGCTGTGGGCCAGCCTGCGGCCTCCGTCCGCATCCGCATCGCGGTGGCCCAGGCGCCAGGGCCTCTTCCCACGTTGTTTTAATTCAGGGAAGAAGGAAACAGCACCAGGGCATTTCAATAAAACCTAGGCGGCTCGTGAGCATTTCCCATTCTGTGTCATTTCTCTGGCCTCCGGTGGACTTTGTAAGAGTTTGGTGGAAAGATAGCCCCAATTTGGGGGGTGTGATTTTTTTTTGGCAATTGAGATTAAATATACACATTTTACACGGGTTCCCTTTGGCGAAGTAATATTGCAAGTGTAAGCGTCCATGTGTCAAATCATAGTCCTATTGTATCCACAACCACGACTCCTCCTGTGCCAGGGCTCCCCCGGACAGGGAGGGCAACGTGGGAGGAAGATGAGAAGTCCAGGCGTGCAATTTCCTTCTTTTCTTCTTCTTTTTTTTTTTGAAAAGAAATGAGCCTTTGTACACTGTACAAAATTTAAGTCAAAGTGAAAGGTGAATCTCTTTCGAACTTCGTTCACAGCTCCCAGCAGTCTGGGAGCGCGTTTGGCTGGGTTTCAGATGCAACGGTATTTCTAGGTTCTCAACCGGCATCTGGTGCGGAAACGTTTGCTCGGAAAACACGCACCGACGAGACGCCCAGGGAGGCGGAGGGTCCTGCGCTCGGGTCCTGGGCCGGGCGGGGTCTGCTCGAGGTTTTCAAAGGGCTGCGAGGCCTGGCAGCCCGGCCCGGGCAGCGCCAGCGGGAGGCCGCACTGCGGGGGACTCGAGGCGCAGCCACTGGGGGCTGGGAGGGTCGCCCTCGCCCTCGGGGTGCTCCTGCGCCTGGACCCACCACCCCACGCGCTCTTTCTCTTTCTTTGTTTTTGTGTTCTAGGGAGCGCGTGTTCTCTTAACCAGCTCTTCCTCACCCGGCTGTCCTGTCTTTAGCTCCAGATTACTGCCGGGTGTCGTCACTGCAACCTTGTCCCTCCCGGTTTCCTTAGTGGCAACAAAATTCGCCATCCTCTGACAGATGCCCCGCCTCCAACGAGCTTCCCTGAAGTTTCTCTCTGGCGCGGGGTCCGGGAAACCCTAATTTCTCCCTTTCTCAGCAGCTCGTTGCCTCCCGAGGTTCTTCTTCCCCTTTCCCTGCCTTCCCGTGTCCTTCGCCCCCGGGCTCTTTTCCTCCTCTGCGCGCCATCCCCACCCCCGCTCCGCGACAAGCACCCCCCCACCCCGCCTTCCCGCACAGGTGTGGGTGCAGCCCCGGCCTGGGGTGCCCCCGCTGTGCTGGGCAGCTCGGGGCTGCAACGCTGGGCTTGGTGCAACCTGCCCGCGCCCCCCCACCCCCCCTAAGTCCCAGGCCAAGGCTCCCGCCAGGAAGGAGCATGCGGGGAGGGGGATAGGAACACGCGGGGGAGCCCAGGAATGCCGGAGAGGGAGGGAAGGGGACAGTCCTGGGGAATGGACCTGCCTCAGTGCCTTTAAGGGCTCCAGTTCAAGGAGACTCGCTTCAGGATCAGCGACCTGACCACCGGAGTTCTTCACCGGGCGACAGTTTGGAGAGGAAGTGCTTGACTCTCGCCAGCCGTGTCGCCTTCGCACACGCGCCCTAGCGGGCCCGCATCCCGCACTGAGACACGCGCGCACACGCGCTCCCCGGACAGCCGCTCGTCTCAGAAGCTGTCTTAGGCAAGTGGAGTTGTCAGGTTTTTGTTTTGTTTTTTAAAGTGCTTCTGCGAGGAGGCAGTCTTTGAAAGTACTTGGCTCCCCTCCCCCGTCCCTCCTGCGGCGGCTGGTCGCTTTGCATTCCTCCTTCTAGACGCCAGAGCGCACCTCCGCGCTGGCCTCGCCGCCTGCGCCCGGCTGCGCCCAGGAGGCTGCGGAGCGACCGCAGGGGTCGACTCCAGCCCGGCCTGAGCAGGTAGGACTCCTTCCTGCTTGCAAGAAGACACTGCAGGAGCAGTTGTTAGAAGTCCCTCCAGTCCTTCTAACAACTACTTTCTGCAAACAAGCGAGGCCCTAAAGAGCATTGGTCTAGGCCGTGTTTAATATCCCTTTGCCACCTCTGTATCTGTTGTGTTCCCCACACATCTCACCCTGACCGTTGGCTTGGGGGCAAGTGGTCACCCCCACACTCACTTCCTCTCCCCAAGCTCCCTCCCACTCGTACACACCTGGGGGCTTATAGGCAGGGGCATTGGAGGTTTTCGGTTTTCTTTTAAAACATGCCAGAAAATGAAGAACGGAAAAATGGATAAATTTGATTGCATTGAGTGCAAACACTTTTGTTGACGATGGATGACAAATTGCCAGCATGCGGGGGTGGGGAGGGAGATGCTTGCCACATGTAGATGACATACTGCTATGCGGAATCCTCTGGGGAATTCTGAGGATGGGTGAAAACAGGGCGCCCAGTGCCAAAATGGGCAGGGGCGTGGGCGGACCCTGCACACAGAGGACACAGAAGCGCCCCCAGCTTCTCTGGCGATGGGCAGCCTAAGCCGGATGAGATGATGCCCTTGGGACCCGCTGGGTGGCCCCAAAGAAGGCCTCGCGTGTGTGTGCAGACAGCGGGCTCTCCCTCACCGCCGTGCCGGTTGACACTGCTGCGAAGAGATTTGGGAGACATTCGGCAACATCTGAAAGAGCAGGAGGCGCACGCAGGCCGCCTGCCACCCGGGGCCACAGGCAGGCGTCCTCTGCCTGCTGTTCCCCAACCCAAGTGCAAGACTGGAAACCTCCTAGGCAGTCACCCCAGGCCTGGGTGAAGAACTAGTGGAATATTTCACAGAGCAGAATGGGGGGGGAGTGAATGAAGTCATTCTACTTGCAATAGCATGAATAGAAGTGTGAAGTTGGGGAGGGTACGAACAGAAAGAATATGCTGATGGTGGAATTTAAAAAAACGAACAGCAATATTTTGTGTTGTTCACAGGCATGGGGGCTGCAGCAACATGGGGACAGGAGCTTCCACTCTGTCTCAGGCCTGAATATCTTCGGTGGTGGTTAGACTTACTAGTAATATCTCATTTCTGAAAAACGTATCTGAATTAAATGTAGCAAAATGTCCACAGTTACTGGCTTGGAATGACGGTTACAGGGGATTGTCATGCTCTGCACTTTCCCATGGTGTGAAGCACTGTGTGGTTTGACAATTAAGCTGAAAAGTAAGTGCCAGCCTTTAAGAAAAAGCATCAAAAAACCCAAAGTATAATGTGCTAATTTGGGGCTATTTATTACAAAAGTAGCTTTCTTAAAAATTTTCATTCTTTTTTTTTTTTTTTTTGAGACAGAGTCTCACTTTGTTGCCCGGGCTAGAGTGCCTGCCATGGCGTCAGCCTAGCTCACAGCAACCTCAAACTCCTGGGCTCAAGCGATCCTCCTGCCTCAGCCTCCTGAGTAGCTGGGACTACAGGCATGTGCCACCATGCCCGGCTAATTTTTTCTATATATTTTTAGTTGGCCAGTTAATTTCTTTCTATTTTTAGTAGAGACGGGGTCTCACTCTTGCTCAGGCTGGTCTCAAACTCCTGACCTTGAGTGATCCTCTTGCCTTGGCCTCCCAGAGTGCTAGCCCGGCCAAAATTTTTATTCTTAATCTCTCTTTTCCTGTCTCTATTCCCCCACCCTTAAAAAAAAAAAAAGGATGTCTTGGGTGTGCAGTTTAATCCTCTACGTGGATTGCCACTTTGTGCTTCCCCATAAGCATGGCGGGGACAGGTGGCGGGCATCCTGGCAGGTGCTGCTGCAGCCCTGGGCCTCCCATCCTGTCTCCCCAAGTGCAGGGCCAGCTCTCCTTTGCTCAGGGCCTTGCACACTGGGCTCGGGGGTCACTGGAGGTGCAGGATAGGGCTGGGTGTGTGCACTAGGCTGCCTGCTGGTCACCCACATGCCTCTGTGGGGGCCGCATGCTTCCACGTGCCATTCCAGGTCACCTCTGCACCAGTGAGAACATAAACAGCAGAGACAGGGACTGCAGGAAGACAGAGAGACAGGGAGAGCCAGGGAAGAGCAGAGTGCAGCCTGGACAAGAAAGGAGGGGAGAGGAGAGGAGAGACATGGGGAAAAAGCAAAGGGAAGCCCTGAGGAGGCAGGGGGAGGCAGAGATGGGGACAAAGTGGGGAAGGGCCTCCTTGCTCAGTGGGATTCCAGGCTCCTGGCAGGCCCTCGCCCTTTCCTCGACTCCTCTCACTCACAGAGTAGAGCTCAGGGCCTTTCTGGCCCTTAAGATCCTTCCAGAAACATCTAGGACTGTGCTGTTCTCTTCACTGCAGCCTGAGGGAGGCAGGTGTTTGCAAACACCAGTCTGGGTAAAGCCTTGCGCAGTGGGAGAGGCCTTAGGGCCTGCCTTGGTCAGAGGTTACAATGGTCTCCATCATTCATTCTATCTTCAACCTGCTTGAACGGGTAGGGTGGAGGAACTACTTCCTGGGAACCAACACATCTCCAAAGGCTCCCCTTTGTTAAGGTGGCCGAAAGCCTCCAGGGCTGCCCCAGCTGCACCCCGCAGCTTGCCCCGGGGCTCTGCTCACCGCTCCCCTTCCGCCGCAGCCCTCCCTGTCAGGGCCCCGGCAGGTTGCTTCCCCCTGGAAGGTCCTCATTTACTTCTCCCCTGGGAGGTCAGCAAAGACGGGCAGCCTCCTTGAGGCTCTGGTCAGCAGCTGCTAGAGCTGCTCTTTCCTGGCGTCATGGTTCCCTGACCTCAGTGCCAGCCAGCTCCACGTGTGGCACGTCGTGGGCTCTAGACGGACACCGGCTGAGTGAACATGTGCATGGACGGATGACGCTCTTGGTTCCTCACCTTTACTTCTACAGGGCACAGGGGGTGATGGGTGATGCAGGAGGGAACAGAGTGGGGGACACTTGCTTACGTTCCCTGCTCCCTGACCCCTGGAGGCATCTCCGAGCCTCACCCTGGAGGCCCACACCTAGTCCCACCAGATCCTGCCGCTCCTCTGCAGCCCAGGCTCCGGGTGCAAAACAAGATCAGTCTTGGACATTAAATTTTAGGGCCCGATAGATAATGTACATTTAAAATAACATTTAGTTTTTAAAACAAATTGCTGAGTTATCAATCAGCCCAAAACCTTGTGCCCTTTGAGGAGAGTGAGCACGCATTTCTATCTATTTCCATTCCAGATGACCTTCATGGTTCCCAGCACGTAGCAGGTGCTTGATAGTTGAATGAATAAATGAACGTATATTGATATTTTGGGGGGAAAAACTTTAATAGAAGCAAACTGAACTTTGACAATATTTTTAGTAAAAAAACTTAGAGTGGGAAAGAGTTATATATATCCTATATAAAACGTAAATTTCCTGGCAAGTTTTTAATAGACAAAGACAAGTTTATTCTAAAATATATATGGAAAAGCATGGTCCTTAAAACAGTTAAAACAATTTTGAAACAGAAGAGTCAAGTGGGAGAAACCAGAAGAAGATGGGCGCGCGCGGCGGCACGCCGAGGCGAGGCAGCGGCGGACTACGGCGGCCCGGCCGGGAACGGCGGGCGCGGGCGCGGCGCAGCGCGGAGCCGGTGGCGCCAGCCCGGCCAGCCGGCGGTCGGGTTGGGGGAGTCAGAGTCGGAGTGAGGATTGAGGAATGAGCGCTCCGAGTTTCCGAGGGACAGTCTGGAACGCGGAGCTGTCACGCGCTCAGTCTGCATTATCGGTCCCGCCCTCCCCTGCTCCGCCCGCTCCAGCCGCGCGGGGCCGAGGGCGGCAGCGGCGATGGAGAGGGGAGGGGGAGGAGAGAGGCGGCGGAGGAGGACGAAGGCTTTTGTGCGCAGCCGCCTCTCTCCGCGACTCCGCCCCAGCCGCGGCCCTGCAGCTAGCCAGGCCGAGCTGCGTGCCCTGGCGCGCACCCTCCCACTCGTGCATTTTTTTAACAGCCAGGTCCTGCCCGGGGCTCCAGCAGGCTCCTCACATCGGTCCCTGCCACCTTCTTCTTCTCTCCCTTCCTCTCACCCACTGCCCCGCCCCCAGCTGCTCCGCGCGACTAGCAGAGCGCTGCAGAGGCCAGCGGTCCACGTTGGACCACCACCGTGTCTCTTCTCCGCTCAAGGAGACAGGCCGGCTAATGACGACCGCTGACTCCCAGTGTCCAGTCTGAGCGCGGGGAAACGGGGAGGAACAAGGATGGTGGCACCCACGCACGGCCTGGTCCTCCTGGCGGTGCTGGCCACTCCCACCTTCCTCGACCTGCTCTGCTCCGGGCGAGGCTCCCCGCCCCTCCGACCTGGTCGCCTGCCCTTGCACCCCGCTTCCGAGCATGGACCCGGATCGGGGCGCCTTGGTTGGGAACTGCAGGGAGCCCTGAGGTAGCACGGAGACCCGGATCCCTTAATGACAGGACTTTTCTGGTTGGAACGTCGTGGCACACCGCCGTGTTTCACTCCTCAGAGCCACCCCCTAAGGGATTTATTTTATTTGTTTTAATAAGTGATCCTTCTTTCGATTTGTGTTGCCAGACACCTGGGAGATGACGCCCTGAGAACCTCCTTGGCAACGGGAAGCCTCTCTGCCCTCGGAAGAGAGAGGAGAGGGCGGCCGGGTCACTGGCAAGTGCTCACACAGGTACCGCCAGGTAACGCGCGGCTCAGAGTGCTCACGAGGCTCAGGGGCGAGGTGTTGGCCAGGGTCCCTGGGACTCCAGCCCGCAGGCTCCTCCACCCCTCCACCACCT